ATCGTAGTTCCCCTTAAAAGGGAGGTTAGAAATGTCTTGACTGTGGTCAAGGTTTCAAGGGGAGTAAACATTCTTAGGGAAGCGCTTACGTGGAGTTCGGCGACTCCTATTTCTACGTTGTAAAGAGTTGAAATTAGGATTAACTAAGTATTCCACGGCGGGAAACCTAAAACGGAGTGCGGTGACTTCTTATCCTAAAGCTACGGTAAAGGGTAAACTTGTCCACGGCGGGACGCCTAAAAGTATGAGTACGGCGACTCGAATTCTCTAGGTTGTAAAGTTGGATTGAATTTGAAAAGGATAAACTAGGTATTCCACGGCGGGAACCCTAAAACGGAGTGCGGCGGCTCCTTGACGTAATGCTAGGGTAAAGGGTATCTAAGTCCACGGCGGGACACCTATGCAATTAGGGTTTTGAAATGGTCAAAGGTTAGGCTATTGACTCGGCAGTCAAACTACTGGACCTAATCCTTTGGACGGGAAATAGCGGCAAATAATAACGAAAATAATTAAACGACAATACGGAAATATGGCAAAGTAAGAAAACGGTAAAGGATGCAAAGCGACGATAGCCTCGCGTAGATTACAAACCCAAACAAAAATGCAAGAACAATAATGAAATAAAAGTGACGATTACTCGCGTAAATTACAAGCCCAAAATGAAACGGAGTATGAAGCAATAGCGACGATGGCCTCGCATAAATTACAACCATAGAAACGAAAACACGGCAGAAGGTGAAAGTAATAACCAAGTGCAAACAAAAGGTATGAAAGTAGTCAGATGAGAATTAACGGGGAAGTCAGATGAATGACATATTAGTGTTAATTTATTTATAAAAAATTGGGATTCTAATTAGAAAAAGAACCGGACTAACAAACTTAACAATTAAAAGAAAGTGTTAATTTTCAAATTCCAACTTTTATCTTGTTAAAAAAATGTTAATTTTAAATGGTGAAGTTTTAATTTTATGATTTTTAACAAATGGTTCTAACTTAAAATTTCTTCAAAAGGAATGGTTTTAATAATTTCTAAATTAAGACAAGTGCCATTTTAATTTTAAAGAAAAGTGGGTTTTATTATTTTTAAAACAATGTTAATAATGAGTTTTTGGAAAAATATTTTTAATTTAAGAAAAAATGGGTTTTATTATTTAGATAGTCATGAGAATTTATATGTTTAATGGTTAATTACACTTAAATAAAACATAAATTAAATGAACAAAAAAAAAACAGAAAATCCATTTTAAAATAACATAAAACGAAGCGGGTCGGGCTGGCCACCAACCCAGACCCGACCCGGTCAGGCGGATATAAAAGGAAAATCCCTAAAAAATTTAGGGTTTCCTAAGACCCATTTCTTCTTTCACCAGCGGCGCGACCTCCATGGGAGGGTCCGCTGTGACTTTTCCTGCTTCTTTCATGGCGGTCTCACGTTCTTCCTCTTTGCTTGTCCGCGGCGGCTGTCCCCATTGACGGTCCATCGAAGCTTTTCTTTTTCAATCCTTGCATGTGTCGCCGCCGTCATTGTTCCATCTTCGAAGCTTCCACTCATTCTTTCACTCCATCCCGTTCCTTCGTCCACCTGCGAGAAAAAGGAAAAAAATCCGACAACCGTTAGGTGGTAGCTCACCTTCTATGGAGGTTTGAAGCAGCTTTCCTTTATGGTCTTGGTTGGATGGAGATGATGATGGGAATACTTATTTCTCTGAGTCTGTGGTGGTCGCCTTCGTTTGGATCAGTCGGATGATGGTGATGATCTTTACGGGTTTTCCTTTTCTTCTTCGTCTAGGTTGCGGCTGCCGATTGGAAACGAAAAGGGTGTGGGTATGGTCGCCGATGATGATGAAAGCCTGAGGCTCGATGAAGGGTTCTTCTTTTTGTTCTTGTGGCCTGCAGATGGTGATGATGACGAAGCTAGATGCTTATCTGAACCTCCCAAACCCCCCTCCATGAACTAACGGTCTTGTAACTTTATATTACTTGATCTGAGTTTATGGGTTCTGGGTGCGCGATTTAAGTTTCGAAATTCCTTGCGGTTTTATTGCGATTTTGGCGGAGGTTTGTTCGTGATTTGTTTCGGTGAATCTGACTGGGTTCGTTCTTGGCGTGATTTGCTGATGATTTTGGAAATTTGTTTGATTTTCTGGATTTGCGTGACAGTTGCTAGCTTGCGTTTTTTCTGGAGGTGCTTGTTTTGGTTGTTATAAAATTGTTGCTGATGAGCCTGTTTAATCTGTTGGACTAAGGGTTTTTTGGAACATTGTGTTCAGACTCTGTTTGGCAAAACCAATTTTCTAAAAATCACTTTTCCAAAAGTGCTTAGTCTAAAAATCACTTTTAAAAGTCACTTTCTCTCTCTCTCTCTCTCTCTCTCTCTCTCTCTCTCTCTCTCTCTCTCTCTCTCTCTCTCTCTCTCTCTCTCTCTCTCTCTCTCTCGAAAAAGAACAAATATTACCGGATTTACTGAGGTTGAGAATAAGTCGGGAGCTAGCTTCGACTTCGTCGTTGCCCTCCCGACACACCCGATGATGAGAATTTTCTGAGGGCGTCGGAGTCCGAAAAAACCGACTTTAACTAACCTTTAAAACTGCTGCACTGTTTGTTGGTTTTTTCCTTGCAGGTTCAGAGAAATAAAATCGAAACTCAAATAAAATCGGAACTCGAAGAACTGGGTCCGGAGACGAGTTTAGGATAATTTAGGAATTTTAGAGTTCGAAGATTTATTTTGTAATTGATCTTGTAATATTGTAATAACAAAAATACAAAATAAATAAAATTTTATCTTCTTGTTAACTTGAATTTTCTCGAACAATTCATCCGGATAATTCTCCCGATTAAACTCAATCAAACAAATTCACTTAGTTAAATTTATTCGATAAAAGTTCTCCCGATTAAACTCACCAAATAATTCAATCAAACAAATTCACTTAGTTAAATTCATTCGACAAAAGTTCAGCTAAATCCGCCTGGCTAAACTTATCCGATTAAGCTCCTTCAAATAAACTTGCCTGAATAAGTTTGCTCGATTAAATTTGTCCGATTAAAATCGTGCCAATAAATTCATCTGATTCCAACTTGTCCAATTAAACCCCGAATGACTAACTTCTTCCAATTAAATTTATCCAAATAACTCAAACTGATTAAAGTCCTCCAAGGAGATTTATCCGATTAAGCTATGACAATCTAACTCCGAACTCGACAATTAATAATCCAAAATTCCACTGTTTCCTTAAATTTGACCGTTGACTAGTGGGCAGCAGAAAAACGTGCTTCTGTCAAAACAAATTCCTCAAAGCGCATTCTCGTACTGATTTATCCCGAAACCGCTTACCCTGCAACGCACTCAACTCCATATAGTTTAGGAATCAAACAACATTTCTGAAATCCAACCGACGACTGAAACTCGGCCCTTGCTTAAACTGTGTTGTGTCACGAGAAACCTGACGTCGAAAATTGCTGTAAAAAATCAAATCATCCTCAAATAAATCACAGGACTCAGAGATTGAAACCCTAATCGTTCGAGGGATTTCTGATGATGACTCTGCTTCCTGATCTATCAACAAACCGCAAATTAAATGACCAATTCGCCCTTCAACGGTTAAAGCGCGCATGATGTGATTCTCCTGCAAAAAACAACGAACTACACAAACCCGTTAGTGGTTAGTTAAATGTAATGCCAACATGAGATGAAATGCGACATGAATCGACTAATCTAAGGGTAAATTTTGGGGTATTACAGAGTGTGACAAAAAAAAGATTGAAATTCGAGAATATTTGATAAAACTCACTGCATATATCATTTCAAGAACTGAGTTTGGTACAAATTATAAAGAGGGAAAACAAATATTTTATCTTCTCATACAATTACAAGCTCTTTGTGCTCAAGCAACTAGAAATCTTTGGTTTCCTGGAAGCAGGTTTGTAATTTCTATAAGTTTATTGGCATTGTCTTTATCTTCATTTCCCGATGTTAACAATATGCAAATTACGGGTGGTAAAACAGACCCTATCCACGTATCATGTCCATTTCTCCCATATTTTGTTTAGACATGCAAAGTTTTTAAGCCCACGTTGTTTAATATATCCTTTTCGTTAGTTTTTTTTTTTCTTTTATAAATGTGGACATTAATTATTTTTTTTTGTAACTTTTTATATTTAAGAATACAAGATTCACATGTCTGTCACACCCCTCCTCTTTTTTCTTCTTCATTCTTTTATTGAGAAGGGTCGAGTTTCACATTCTCACTTATATATGTCATGTATGTCCCATCCTATCTTATATTTTTGTAAGTTTTGCGAGCTGGACCTTAATAGAACATGCATATATGTTTGTCACCTCTAGTACAAAGTAGATTTACCGTAGAACTTAAAATTTGCTACAATTAAACCGTGCCAAAATAAGTGCTCATAAAATATATCTTCTTAAACCATTTATAAGTATATTTAGAGTCATCTTAAGTTTTAAAAAACTTTGTGTATGATAGATTTTGTTCTAAGTATCCCAAAATAATTAGAGATCCTATTTATCAATGGTTTAGTAGTGATAAATATTTTATGAAACTCTATTTAATTATGATTTAATCGTGACAAATTTTATTCTGTAATCTATCTTACATGTCCTTAAAGACAATCATGTGTGTGTAAATATATATATATATATATATATATATATATATATATATATATATATATATATATATATATATATATATATATATATATATATATATATATATATATATATATATATATATATATATATATATATATATATATATATATATATATATATATATATATATATATATATAAATTTTTTTTCAATTTTTGATGCTTTTTAAAAGTATATTAGAAAAAAAAACATAAAATTTAATAAGTGATATACACATTTTCGGATAAAAATTGTATTTATTGCTTAGTGTTATAATATACTTTGATTTTTCAAAAAAAAATATAGGTTTTTTCCTAATACTTATAATAGAGAGATAAAGTCATTGAAGATGGAAGTGGAGAGACTCTTGATGGAGATAATACAAAGTAGAAAAGATTGTGTGGAAATGGGAAGAAGCAATTCTCATGAAAATGACTTATTGAGAATGCTTTTAGATGAATATCGAAAGAGTGGTAACTTAAACCTACAATTAGTTATGGATGAATGCAAGACATTCTTCTTTGCTGGACATGAAACAACTGCACTCTTACTCACATGGACTGCTATGTTGTTAGCTAGTAATCCAACTTGGCAAGAAAAAGTTAGAAGTGAAGTTAAAGAGATTTTCAATCAAGGAATGCCTTCTGTTGATCAACTCTCTAAGCTTAATATGGTTAGTACTCTCTTTTTTAAATATTATTTTTTAAAAGATTTTATGTTCTTCGTGGTAATTATTTTTCCGACTAAGAGAGAAAAATATATAATACGATGTATAAATAGTTAGTAGTATTATAAAAAATAAAAAATAAATGTGTCATAAATAATAAAATTTATTATTGTCTCGAATGAGTGTAAATAATCCTAAAACAATAATTAAAAATGAATTAAGATAGTAACAAAGAGTGAAGTATAGCTACGGACTTCATTCATATTTTATTATACTTGTTCAACTCATAGAGGTGAGAAGGCACAATAGAAAATTCAAAGAGTGAATTATAGTAATGATTACTTTTAGTAGGTTATAAATTTTTTAAAAGATGGTCAAAGAATCAACATTACCTTAAAGAATTATAACTATAAAAAGTGAAACATCTTTTGCATATAAATTATATAATAGGAACTTACATATTTGAGGGCAACCACTCTTTCCATTTAAAATATTTTAATACTTCTATATCTATGGCTATATTCATATTTAAAATTTTTAATTAAATTAGAATAGATCTTTAACTATCTCATCAAATTTAGATAGATGAGGTTAAGTTTTTGAAAATTCTATGAAGATCAATTGTAGTTTAACCATGACAAATATTTTATAAATCTTTATTTAGTCACAGTTTTACTATAATAAATTTTGAATTATTTGTGGTGGCTTAATTTGCATGTTTTCAAAGACTATCTTTCTTCGGTGTGATTGTATTCATGTATTATTATTATTATTTTTTCATTAACAAAATACTAATTTATAGTTTAATCTTTATAGATGCATATGGTAATCAATGAGTCAATGAGACTTTATCCTCCAGTAACCCTACTTCCTAGAATGGCTTTTCAAGATATTGTTTTAGGTGATCTTTTTATTCCTAAAGGCTTATCAGTTTGGGTTCCAGTATTGGCTATTCATCATAGTGAAGAATCATGGGGAAAATATGCAAATGAATTCAATCCACAAAGATTTGCTTCAAAATCATTCATGCCTGGTCGTTTCTTACCTTTTGCTTCTGGCCCAAGAAATTGTGTTGGACAGTCATTTGCTATGATGGAAGCTAAGATTATATTGGCAATGTTAATTTCTAGGTTTAACTTCACTATTTATGAGAATCATAAACATGCACCAATCACGGTCCTTACTATTAAGCCTAAATATGGTGTACAAATTTATTTGAAGCCTTTAGATTGATAGGATTTTCTTCCACGACTAGAAACTCACACAATTGTGATAGTCATGATTTGATCTTTAGTGCTGGCGTCTAACATATCAATATTGCTATTGTACCTGTTGAACTAAGATTTGTGGAGTGATAAGATGTATTTACCATTACATTTTCTAATTATATAGTTGTTTTCATTGGAGAAGTTTGTTTAGCATTTTATGATTTAATTTTGTTTGCTCAAATTTTGTAATAAAGATATATACGTGAAGCATTGATTATAAGGATTAAAATGTGTACAAATTCAAAATATGAATTATAAATTATAAGCTAATTTATTTTACTTGTGAAAGGTTTCTTACATGTTATATTTAGATAAGTTTTATGTGCTATAAGCTGTGAGGTATTGGATCAAACTCTAGTTAGCATACCATCAAAGTTTGCTCACATGCTATTGTCAAAGACTTACATGTTGTAGTCGAATTAATGTCTAGTATGTAGTTGTTGAATTGGGCGTTGTGTTAAGGATCCAATTGTTTAAGTTAGCTTGTACCCTAAGTTAGCTTGTAATGGGTAAATGTTAAAAACCCATTAGTTTAGTATGTTAGGTTTTATTATAAATAGCATACTAGTCTCTCATCTTATGTGTGGTGTGACAAAATCTAATTAGGGTGAGACGGTTATTTGTTATTCTTAAGTACTTGTAATCTGTTTTATAGAGAAAGTAAAGAATAACAGTTATAACCAATCCTTGTTGTTCTCCTTATTTTTCCTTAACCCTAACCCTTGTGTGTTTCTTGATCATAAAGAAACCGAGTATATTTTATTTTAAAGCATCCTAATTCATAACAAATTGGTGCGGTGAGCATGGAGAAGATGCCTTCAAAAAAGTATGAGATTGAAAAGTTCACTGGAGTAAACGACTTCGGTCTGTGGCGCTTGAAGATGAAACTCGTACTGGTTCAGCAAGGTTGTTTGGAAGCGTTGAAGGGAGAGGCAGCCATGGATGTTGCGTTAACAGGAAAACAAAAGACAACCATGATAGAGAAAACCCACAACGCAATTTTGTTGAGCCTTGGTGATAAGGTTCTTAGACCGGTATCAAAGGAGACTACGACATCGGGGTTATGGTTGAAACTTGAAAGTTTGTCATGACCAAATCTCTGGTGAGTCGACTCTAATTGAAGCAAGCTTTGTATTTATTCAAGATGAGTAGAAAAAATGTTGACTGAGCAGTTGGACATGTTCAACAACCTGATTCTTGATCTTGAAAATATTGATGTGAAGATCGATGATGAAGATTAAACACTGTTGCTATTGTGTGCTTAGCCCAGAACACATGCTCACTTCAAATAAACTTTCTTGTATGGAAGGGAGTCCCTGAGCTTTGAAGATGTTCAGTTAGCCTTGTATTCTTAGGACTTGAAAAAATAAAAGGAGCATAAACCTTCGACGGTTGGTGAAGGTTTGGCCGTTAAGGGAAAATTCTTACGAAAGGATGGTAAGTTTGATAAGAAGAAAGGAAAAAGTTAGCAGAAGTCTTATAGTGGCGAGGCATCCGGTATTCGATGCTATCACTGTAAGAAGGAGGGGCACAGTAGAAAAGTCTTATAGTGGCAAGGCATCTGGCAACGCAACCATTATTCAAGATGATTTTGAATCATCTGATGTCCTTGTGATTTCAAGTGGCGACTCGAGAAAGGAGTGGATTATGGATTCAGGTTGCACTTGGCACATGACTCAAAACAGATAATTGTTTGAGGAGCTATGTGATCAAGATGGTGGATCAGTGCTACTGCAAAACAATAAATCTTGCAAAATTGCAGGTATTAGATCTGTGAGATTGAAGCTCCATGATGAGTCAATAAGGTTATTGACTGAAGCAAATATGTACTTGATTTGAAGAGAAATTTGATTTCTCTGGGTGAATTCGACAGGAAGGGATATGTTCTTCAAGGATAGAAAAGTATCCTAAGAGTCACAAAGGGGTCGAAGGAAGTCTTGAGAGGCGTGAAGAAACAAGGCTTGTATACCCTTGAGGCTGAAGTTGTAAGTGGTTTGACAAATGTTGCATCCACGAAACCGTTGTCAAAAATAGAAATTTGGCACATTAGATTGGGCCATGTCAGTGAAAGGGGTTGGTCGAATTAGGGAAACAAATTCTGCTTGGAGGAGACAAAGTCGAAAAGCTGAAACTTTGTGAACTCTATGTACTTGGAAAATATTGCAGAGTGAAGTTCAACAAAGGCAAACAAAGTACTCATGGATCCATTGGTTACTGTCATACCCCAAATTTGTCCACATGTATATACTTTTCATTTGTAAAAAGTGTGTGTGGTGTGATTGAAGTTTAGTTGGTCCTGATTTAGTTGGCCAAGAGAAAGTTTGTTTCATGATCAGGCCAAGATGTGTAAGATTTTAGTGGTGTGTGCCTTAGGTCCCAATTAGGATTTGTGTGTGTTCACTGTGATCATGGGCTTTTGTAAGATGCTTTGAGTTCAAGTTTTATTCTTCTCATGACCAAGTAATCAAAATATGATCAAGGGGTTCTCAAGCCATTTCTCAAGACGATTTTCAAGTCTTGTTCAAATTCATGTCGAGCTTTATCCCAAGGCGATATTAGATTCATACGATGGTCAAATTATTCACAAGTTATGCTTTGGATGACTCTAAGATTGGTGGCGAGTGCTGGCCCAATTGGTTGAATTCAAGTGATAAAACAAGTTAAAGATCCAATTTGAGTTGGTTATTTGGCATAACCAATTTGTAAATCCAAGTCCTGCTGGAGTAAGGTTACCCAATTGTGTTCAGATCTTTGAGCCAAGTTCAATTTATTGGGTTACTTTAAATCCTTGAACGAATTTTTTATCATGATGAGTTTTAGTTCAACATTCAAAATAATGGATTTTAGAGATTGAGTCCAAGTTGTTCAAGTAGTTCAAAATTAATCCAAGCATTGTATCTCAAGACATGACAATATTTCCATCCTTTTTTCAAACCTTGTGCTCATTAGGTCTTGAAGACAATTAATTGAACCATGAATAGTTTGGTGCCAAAATAATAATAGAAGCTCAATATTTTTCTTGGACTCTGTCGCTACTGCGAAAAACGAGGCCGGCAAAACAGAAGAGTCGCCACCTTTCGTTATTTATCCCTCAGAACGGGAAAGGAAACGATCGGAAAAACCTGACGAAAAGGTATAAGACAAGGTCATCGCAACCATTGTCTGGATTCGGGAGTCGGTTATGCAAGGGGAAGGTATTAGCACCCCTCACATCCATCGTACTCGATGGGATCCAAGCTTGTTGTGTTTATCTAACGGGTTTGTTACATCTACCTACGCTAAAGGTCTGGTCTAAAGAGAAAGAAAATGACTCGGCAGAACAGATCAGTTCTATGCCTACGTATTCCCGTATGGAACGAGAAATCAGAGTCAACGTAGTTCGCCTAACTACGGGTGATGGGGGAAGGTTGCTCGCCAAGATATCGCATCTTGTGCCTACGTACTTTCACACGGCATGAAAGATCAGAACAAACGTAGTTCGGGAAACGATGGAACACAGATTTGTTCAACTGTTTTTATCCGAGTAGGATTAACAGACGGTTCCAGCAGTTGGTGTATGCAGCTCGACCATTAGAGACTTAGGCGTTACCGTTTGCGGTAGAACCGAGAGTTAACAAAACTCTCCTTCTGAAAAAGGGTTCCAAGGGATTAGGGGTCCAAGGGGACAAAAATATGTTTGATCTTTGTTTTCTGTTTTTTACGGAAGAAGTGTTTTTTTAGTTGTCTGTAGTTTGTACAGCACTAGAGACTATGACTTAGGAGCGAATGCGTGGCATATCGTCCAAAGGACATATACTAAACACTCTAGATGATTGAGAGGAGACCGCTCAATCATCATTTCCCAAGTAGCTTAAGGCTCGTAACGCGCTTGTACTAACTTGCCTTTATTACGTTTTTTACTGTTGTTTTTAGAGACAAGAGAAAGGGAACAACTAAAGGGAAACTGTATAGTCCTAATGTTGTCATGCAAAATTAATCCTATGGTTGAGGTTAGGAGGGAGATACCTAATGTTATCATGCATGGTTAGAACCCTAACGTCTGTCATAACTTCTCTTGAACAAGAGAAGTCAGAGTTCCTAGGGGAACATGGCAATGGCAAGCAACAGTAAATCAAATCAACTGAAAAGAAATTACTGTAAACAAAGTGCTATAAGTAAAATTCATGCTATGCATCACACAAGCAGAAGGAGTCGCACTCAACTTCTAAACAAACAAGCAAAAGAAAACAGACAAAATAGACAAGCAGAGGGAGCTCGCTCAACCTCTATTATGCAAATACGTCAATTAGAAAAAAAATAAAAATAACAAACAAGCAAGGGGAGCACCACCTCAACCCTTAATGCAATACAAGCAGAGGGAGACCCACTCGACCTCTTGATGCAATCATGCTCCTATATTCAGACTACACTAAACATGAACTATCCTAGCACACCACACAATCATGCATGAAGGAAAGGAGTTTATGACAAGTAAGGGATTTCATCCCACAAGTAATCAAACAAGCTTCTATCCTAAGGAAAGAAATTGGGTGTTTGGAGGCCAGGGTAAGGTCCACAGGAACTTATCCCAGGCACTCAACCAACTAAGAGAGATTTGGGGGAATCCTAAAGGTTTGGCTCCTTCAAGAGGTGTGCAACATTCCCCCCACAGGAGGGACTGTGCTACCTCAAGAAGGTTCCTAAAGAGGAAAGAATGAGAGAATTTTAGGAGAATGGAGATGAGAAGCAAGGTAAGTTCCACAGGAACCTACCACAGACACTCAACCAACTTCATTTCCTTTAGAGAAAGGGAGCTCTCCTGGACTCAACCCCTTTATGATAGTGCAATGTATTCCTCCACAGGAGAAAACATCGCTCACAAGAGGGATTCCAATCAAGCAAAGAAAAATTGAAGAGGAAACTATTCCTATGGGAAGAATCATCCACTTATTTAAGCTTCTAAAGAAACCACAAATGATACCTTAT